TTTTATATACATACACACACATATATATGGGTAAATTTGCTCTGTCTTCTTGGAGTGGGACATCCTTCTTCTTGCTCTGACACTGGAGCTCCTGGTTCTCAGAGTTTTGAACTCCAGGACTTACACCAGTACTACCCTAGCATCTGCTTTTGGAGCCTGTTACACATCAGCTCCCATGCTTGTCAGATCATTAGACTCACACAGAATTACAGACTACAGATGGTGGGGCTTCTCAGCCTCCATAACTGCCTAAGCCAACTCCCATAATAAAATGATGGACGACAGATGCATGCATACATACATATGTAAACACACATGTACACATGTACATAAACCCAGGATAATTTTGGTTTTCTAAATACACCCAGGCAGATTTTCTGGTCAGTCCTGACCCTGTTCTCCCAGTGACCTGGTTCCACAGAATTCCTCACCAAATAGAGTTATAAGAGGATCACTAAGCAGGATGTTTAAATGCTGCAAATATCAGATTCTGCAACAGTCCAGCTCCCAGAGGACTTGAATCCAGAGATGCAAGGACCAAAGAAATAAACCTTGGTTTCTCAGTAGAAGTAAACTATGTTTGCAGAAGGAAATAGTGCTCTCCCCTGAGTGCTGACTCCTGGAACACAAAGAAAAAGGTACACATTTCCAGACGTCGCACCTGGGATCCTCTCATCTTTATATGAAACCCGAAATTATGCTGACATCATAGAACACAGGATCATCCTAGTAAAACATTTATATGGGAAAAAGCCTGTATAAGAGTGTGTAATAAATTGAGAGGTTACTTCTGGAGAAGGAGATGGAGTTGGGAAATGCATAAAAAGAATGCTCACAATTTATTCTCTATGTTTCTTGTAGCAGCATATTTGGAGAATAGGATGCCTACCCTAATGTTGATGTCTAGTTGGTGGTAACTGGCAGGGCCAAAGTAAGGGACTCACAATTTCACAAAAAATCTTCAACTTGATCTTTTAGAGGTGTTCATTATGTGCCAAACTGAAGACTATGCTGTTACACCAGACACAGATCCTGCCTGAAGCGTAAGTGATGAGGCTCGAACACAAATTGCTGTGACACAACAGTAGAAAAATGGTTTAATAGAGGCTTAATGAAGTGCTATGAGAATTGAAAAGATAATTACTTCCTTCTGAGGAGGATCAAAGGTGGCAGAGAATTGTGTAAAAGATGGAAAATAGGGAGATGTTTATGAAATGTTTAAACACATTGCACATTTCCAAATATTCTTAACAACTACTGTCAATATCACTTATATAGTGAAGGGTGCTGCTTCTTCCAGAATGCAATTGGTCTAAGCCATGATTTTGTTTCTACTTCAACATTAGTACTTTTTCCTAATTATAAATCTTCCTGTGAGCTGCAGGCCAACAAGCATTTCACATACCTGGTGCACACCCTAGCACACACTGGCACTAGCATCCATCCCATACATCCATTCAATTTACTGAGCTTTGTGCTAGGTGTTAGGGAGGCATGCAAAATGGAGTATGATGTAGTGTATCTACCACTGAGGATAGTTAACACAAAAATCAGGAATTACAGCAGCATCTCCTAAGCGTCTTGACAGAAATAAAGCAAAGGGCTTTGCAAACCAAGAGGAATTTCAAAGAGGAGGAGAGAGAATCAGTTATTTAAACAAAGTAGGGAAAAAGGATAGGATATAAAAAGAATTACAAGTCAAAGTTAACAGCCTCAACTCTTCAAGAACTATAAGTAGGTGCTCAAAAATATATAAATAACCTGAATTATGATCAAGGCAGAGTCTAGGGGACTTGACTCTAGCAAAATTTCTTTAAAAATAATGGATCTCTCTGAAAACATATCAAGGTTAGTTTGTGATTAGAGGAAGAGTTGGTGATGTGGTTTATCCTAGAATCAGACTCAGCCTTCTCACTAACTTATTATTTCCTGATCTTCCTTGACCTGGATTTCAGTGCACTGGCTCCCTAAGCCAAAAAGCAAAAACAAAAACAAAGTCACCAATTTTAAAGTAACACAACCTAATCAATTCAGTGGAACTCTGAGGAACTGGCCTGAGCCTTGTAAGCTTCTGCCTGGAGAGATCTGCGCTAGGCTTTAAGGCTTGGTAAACAGGCAACTTCCTTTCCCCTTTGCCTATTGTGTCTTTTAAAATCAAAGGTCACCCAGGCAACTTTTGCTTTAATTCCACTTGCTGTAGAGAGGCTATAAGCAGCAAACTCTTAAGTATCTTTTTCAAAGGGGCTGGCAGACACAACACCCACATCAGGTAAGTGCCCATTTCATCGCCTGGAGGCATTTGCAAAGGCTAACAGGCAGCCAAGTCAGGAAACCCAAAGGGAGAAGTAGTAGTAACAGCTACCTTTTTCGGGAGCATAAATCTCATCTAATCCTCAGGCACAGAGTTTGCTTCCCAATAAACAGGTGAAGAAACTGAGGCTGCAACTTAGCAAACTGCCTGGGCCTGTATGATAGCTGAAGTTCAAGTCTAGAGTTAATAGGGGTCTAATACCCATTCTTAAACACAAATTTCCCTCTCAGTAATCCATAGGCTCCTCAGAATGAAGAAAGGAAGTTACTAGTGGAAAGCAATGTTTGGTGAGTGAACAGGAAAAACTGACTATATGTTAGGGTAATCCAACACTGCTCATTTTCCAGGATTATAAAGTTAACTCAGCACAAACTGTTTGTATCTAAGTTCGAACATATTTAACTTTCTATCACATCCATACAAGGAGCTAGATATAAAGAGGACACAATGATAAGAAAGGAATTGACACTTCTACTCGACCAAAATCCACCACCTCCAACTATGAAAGGAAAAGATACTATCATTGTGGTATTTTTGAATTGGAACTTCTGGAAATTGAGACTGGCATGTGAATTTTCCCCAAAACTTCTAGCTGATTATGATGAATCATATTGAACAGTAATCTGGTTTGGTGGGGGCTTCTTTAAAAATTATTCAATTAAGAATTCATCCTGGGGTGGGCACTGTGGTGTAGTAGGCTAAGCTTCGACCGGCAGCACGGGCATCCCATCTGGGCACCTGTTCATGTCCCGGCTGCTCCTTTTTTTTTTTTTTTTTTTTTTTTTTAAGATTTATTTATTTATTTGAAAGGCAGAGTTATAGGCCAAGAGAGGAGAGATGGAGAGAGGTCTTCCATCTTCTGATTCACTCCCCATATGGCTGCAACAACTGGAGCTGAGCTGATCTGAAGCCATGAGCCAGGAGCTTCTTCTGCGTCTCCCAAGCGGGTGCAGGGGCCCAAGGACTTGAGCCATTTTCTACTGCTTCCCCAGACCACAGCAGAGTTGGGTTAGAAGTGGAGCAGCTGGCACCCATATGGGTGCCAGCACTGCAGGCGGCGGTTTTACCCACTATGCCACAGTGCTGGCCCCTGCTCCTCTTCTGTTCCAGCTCCTGCTAATGCCTGGGAAAGCAGTGGAGATGGCTCAAGTGCTTGGGCCCCTGCACCTGTGTGGGAGACCAGGAGGAAGCTCCTATGTCCTGGCTTCTGATCAGCTCAGCTTTGACTGTTGCAGCCATTTGGGGAGTGAACCTGTGGATGGAAGACCTCTCTCTCCATCTCTCCTCTCCTGGCCTATAACTGCCTTTCAAATAAAGAAATAAATTTAAAACAACAACAACAACAACAACAAAAAAATAATTCATTCCTGAAGATCCCATAGGATTAGGAAAATGCAAGATTCAGATGTCTTTTAAAAGTTCACAATCCCCAATGAACTGAAACTACATGTTTTCCATGGTCTGCTTGTCATGTTAAAGTCTGGAACTTAGAAAGTGATACTTCACACTTATTCTATCACCACCTATTATATCAGGATGAATGGTCACAAATGCTTGCTAGCAATTAAAGTCTTTAGATCACCTCTCTGAATAAGATGGGAATTAGAATTTTACAGCTCAAATCACCCAGACTGCACAGCCAAACAAATCACTATGCCGGAATTCAGATGGCTGAAAAACTGAATTTCATGGAAAAGAAATATATTTCCACACTAGTAATTTGAGCACACATATTGTTCTTGCAACTTTCTCCGCCTGAAAAGTTTATACTTTCCAATAAGGTTATTTGCTTTCCAAATTCTAATGGCAGTGCCTGCCCTCCAGATTTCTTTGGAGCTTTGAGAAAAATTCTGGTTTATTTGCAGATCTTGCTACATTTCTGGAAAAGTTAAGAGAAGAAACTATGCTCCAAGGAAGGATAGTTATGCTCCTCTTCTCTGACAGTGATCATGATGTGTTGATTTAAGCACAGTGTGCACATGCACCCACAAGCACACACACATGCACACACGAGAAGTGGGAAAAGTAATAAAGTGGCTCTTGGCAAGCATGAAGAGATAAGAAAATCTCTAAGAATCTGGGAACAACAAGTGTAATTTTGGCTTGCCACAACCTTAACTGTTAACAGGGTAATACTTAACTGCTTCTTTATTTAGTTACCAGCATTGAGTGTTATTAAAATTAGGTGAGTTTTTTAGAAGCAGGAAGCTCAACCTCTCAAAAACAAAAACATGAAATCTAAGCTGGAAACATCTAGAAAGTAAAACAAGCAAGTATGTTGAGTGCAAAATAAATATTTTCCTTTTAATTGTTAAAAATAAAATGAGCTATTTTTTTTTCTTAGTAATACAAAGGAAATACTTGCATTTGAAGTCATACATCCCAAAGAGGAACACAAGTCCATAAGCAGGTGTGACTTATGGTGACTATGAGTCTTTTACAATGTAGAAATGAACATAAACTATTTTTAAAAAGCTGATCTCTACATCTCCTAAAATTAAATTGTAATCCACCTCCTACCACTGTGACAAGTTCACTGATGTATATTCCCACCTAATTCTATGACACAGTTGTTTTCATCTCAAATCTTCAAAAGTCTGCCATATAAACATTTTAGTGAGGCTAACATGATGGTAATATAATGAGGATCTTAAATTGATTTTCAAAAGGATGCATCACAGGATCACACTTCCACATCTACACAACTTTATTAGTAAGTAAAATACATGCCAGCATGTTTTATATATGGACATTCCTGTAATAATGAATGGAACATTCTGAACTTCATCAAGAATAAGGTTTTAAAAAACAATAATACACCAATATTTCATGATTCTTTGAAGAATAACAATTAAAATAACATTTAATAGCAGTTAAAAATATAAAAGCCATTATTTACTATTTTCTATAAGCTGGAATCATTCAAATACAGCAACTTCTATTAAAGAAAGAAGGAAAAAAGCTATTATGCCTCTTTTACAGATCAAATAGCTGGATAGAAAAGGCTTAGAAAACAATCAGTTCTTGTCTTCTTCTCAGTTCCTTCTTTCCCAGGGCAATGAATTAAGGAAATCATTACTCAAAACAAATGTAAAATTATATATAGGTGATCATATAACTTATTCTTCAAATCAGGGCTTTAAAGAGAGAGAAAACTAGGAAAACAGGAGTAACTATTAGTGTTCTAAGCAAACTCAAGATACATGGCACTTGTTATGTACAGTATCAGTATTATCATTACATGTGTGCTTTTTGAAATAGTACATATCAGTTGAAAAACAAAAACTGTATGAAAATTAAGAAACCCTTATTTTTTCTCCAATTGGATATTCTGGACTGTAGTTTTCTTACTATAGGAGGTATTACTAAAAATATTAGCAATTATTTAAACAGGTTAAAACTTACAAACTTTAAAGGCATGTCTAAAATAGGATATATATCTTACTTGAGTCTGTGTTTTTCTATTAAGCAGAGACTTTCATTTTAACTGTGTAAGAGAATTTTAATTATCTGTTCTGAACACTAAATAGAAAAATGTATTTTGCATAAATATGTAAAAATGGATTATCCTAGCCATAACTAGCTTATTCAAACAATAGAAATAATTTAAGAAACTTTTGCATTAATTCCCAAGCCCCAATTCACAATCATTCAAAAACATTTAGACTCTAACAAGGGTTTTGATTTTCAGTCTTTAAGGCAGAGTGCAAAGGTGGTCAAGTGTCCCTAAAACACAATAGCAACTATTCAAACTCATAGAAAATAAAGGGAAGTATGTAGAATTTGATGAATCTGAAAGGGAATGTTAAATTTTTGAAAATAATGTTCTGATTACCCTACTTGGGTGATGAGATGGAAGGCTAACATATAACTATAATTACAGAGGATAACATGCACACTTGAACCTTACAGATTTTGGAAGACAATCAAAATAAAAGGTGAAGTTTTGATGCTGGGTCAAAGGAGACTCATCAATATTCAAAAACAAAGTATGAATACCATAAACTACAATGAAATTTTAATGAGTTTGATAGCTGAGCTTCCTAGTAATTTAAAACTATCATGTATCAAAGGCTAATTTCATCTAAAAATTATTAAAATTATATAGGACTATGGGATATAAATGATACAGAAGAGATCCAGCATGAGTTTGTATACATATTAATACAATCTAATTATTTCTAAATTAGGCAACTAAATTGAATACTTTGCTTTCTTTACCTCATATAATTGTTTTACTTAAAGGGGTGTAACCTAGATACTTTGATAATAAAAATTCTATGCAGGTAGTAAATTGAATGAGGCAAACAAAAAATAGGAGGCTCAATTAGCAAAACAAAACAGTGATTTATTTATTTAAGACAATGAAAAAATTAGGAAAAACACAGAAATACAAGAGGTTATAAAGCATAGTAAATTTTATTTTTTTCAGAAATGGAAAAATGCCCCTGAATAATCAGATATACCCTTTAGTAGTAGTCAGTGTCTAAAAATAATCAATTTAATATGTTCTATATAGCTGTATCAAATGATTTTTAATTTAAAAGTGATATTCCCATCATTTTAAATGCTGGCATTTTAAAGCAAAGATATAATGGAAAAGAAAAACAGGTGAGACATAAAATGACTTGCAAGATGTGAAATGTAGCTTATAAGTGTAAAGCAGATTCCAGTTGTAATAATGGTTACACACTCTTATCACAAACACACGCACACACACAAACACACCCTACATCCAAATATTCCAGTCATATTTCCCTAACTTAAAAATGAGTATCTCACATATCTCAACTGAAACTGTTTTTACAAATTAATCCTACAATCATAAAGCAAGAAACTATTAATAGAATGGGATTTTTTTTTTGCTAAGCTTAACAAATTAAATATTTAAAAAAATTATTACAATGATATTGAAAGACAATTTTATTGGCTTTTTAAAAGACAAAAGCAAATGAGAACATCTTACTTGGAAAATTAATTTTTAAAATTATCTTAAAGGAAATAAATATAACATCTATTACAATCTCTTTCTGAAAGAATCTCTAAGATGGGCAATCCTAAAAATGAAGTTTCTTATTTGAAAATTCCTAAAACTAGTATGTCCCTTTAAACATTCTTTTAATAGAGGACATTTGGTAAAGCCACATTTTCTTAAAATTTTTCCTAAAAGAAATTCTATCTTTAATACTCAAAGTTTCTATATATATTTAGTTTACTTAATTTAAAATTAATAAAAAGATATCTAGACACAATTTCTAAGAAAACAAGGCAGAGTGTAATTTATGTGTGGTTATTTACAGAAAAAAATTTCCAAATAATATCATATTTAAAAATCTGACAAATTCTTTCTAATAATCAGCACTGCAGGTTTCAATAAACTTTATGTATAACAACAGAATGCTTCATGTGTAGAATTACTAGATGAATCTAAGAGCCAGAAACTAAAGCAAATGACATGGTTAATAATTTCATTTTTATTATCCTAAATGTCAGGTCAGAAGTCAATGGCATTTACATGCTGGAAGACTGTCAATCACTCAACTCTTTCAATTGTATCAAACACTGATTAACCAAATGTGACTGGATTTTACTGCTACAACTTTATGGTTTCTTTCAAGTATATGCAAAATTTTATATGGGCACATACGCAAATGTGCAAAACAAATGAAATACAAATATTTAAAGAATGAACAGAACTGGCTTTTAAGCACAAACCACCTGCCATTCAATTTTGAAGCTCTATCTTTTCTTCACTAATTTGTCTTCTGCTTTTAATAGTCTTCTATTTAAGTTGTAGGTTTACAGATGATCTTGCAATTTCACATTGGTAGAGAAGGGAATGTCAGATTGATGCAGTCTAGGAACAAATAAAGAATTAATTTTAAAATGTATTAAACTGCATTTATCTGAGTCTTTGTATAATAAAAATCCATTTTACAGCAACATTACATCAAGTATACTGTTCTTTTGAAAGATAACACAAACAAGTACTACATATCAGAATACATTCTAAATTGTAAAGCTTTTGGAAAAAACACTTATCTAGAAAATGTTTTTAAGACTCCCCCAACTGAATACAAGATAACCAGACTTACAACTCACAGAGCACCATTCAAATTAGTAAAATTACTCTGCCTTTTATCTGACTGTTAAGATTGACAAACTCCTCATGTCACTGTTTCCAAAGATATTTTACTGGTCAGAAGAAAATGTAACATCTGGGGAGAGAGATCTTAATGGAACATTTTTAAAAATATATTATTTATTTATTTGAGGGGTAGAGTTACAGAGAAAGACAGAGAGAGACAGAGAAAAAGGTCTTCCATCCACTGGTTCACTCCCCAAATGGCCCCAATGGCCAAAGCTGAGCTGATCCAAGGCCAGGAGCTTCTTTCCGGTCTGCCACATGAGTGCCGGTACCCAAACATTTGGGCCATCTTCCACTGCTTTCCCAGGCCATAAGCAGAGAGGTGGATTGAAGTAGGACAGCCAGGACACAAACCGATGGCCATATGAGAGAGATGCTGGCGCCTCAGGCAGAGGCTTAGCCTACTATGCCACAGCGCAGGCCCCTTAATAGAACATTTTAAATGAAACTTCAATATGATCCTGAAACACATCTGTACTCACTGTTCTCTTCAGCAGAAATAGAACCTTACGTGTACCTCACGTAATTTATTAGTAAGATTTAAGCAAACAAATCACGAATTTTATATACATATAATATATATATTAATAAACAGTCCCTCAGTACCCAAGAGAGATTGGTTTTCCAGGACCTTACCTCCCACCCAACTGACACCAAAATCTAAGGATGTTCAAATCCTTTATATAAAATTGTGCAGTACTAGGCACACCCTTTCATGTACTTTAAAAAATCATGTCTACATTATTTATAATGCCTAATACAATACAAATGCCATACAAATAGTTGTTATACCTTATTGCTTAGGAATAATGACAAGAAAAACATCTACATGTTCAATGAGGATGCAACAAGGATAGGCATAACTATTTAGTACACGATCTGGGGTAGGCAGAATTCACAAACATAGCCAGCCAACTGCATTTGCTTATGGTAACCTTTAAATACTTTAACTTGTAGTCCCACATTCAGAAGCGAAGTATTTTAGTGGATATTTTGCTTAAGGAGCTCAAACACTTTAAAAGTTTAAATCATGTATAACTATGAAGTATATGGTACATGTTTTAAACAATAGGACAGGTAGTACAGACATGAAGTTTTCTTTATGTGAAGAATTTACTGGCTACACGATAAAGAAAGGCTGTTAGTATATATACAATCTCTATAAGCTCACTGAAAACTAGTAAGGCAAGCTCTACACATCTCTCTATGCTCTTATTTACTCCAGTTGCAGCCTTCATTGTTGACACAACTTAAAAAAAAAAAAAAAAAGTACAGCTGTTCTTTTCTTTGCACTTTTATTCCTTGATCCTGATTTCCAAAATGACTGCATGACAAACTGTTTTCCAATCACAGATTTGCTTTTTGTTGTCTTTTGTCACCAGATGCCTATACGGATTTCACACTGTTTATGCAAAATGTCCAGGTCTTCTGTGTAAGTACTTTGCCATGTTTTGTTTCTCAAACCTTCAAATTTTATGCTATTCACTACGTTGTACACATCCTGTGGTCAATGTTTAAAGCAAGCTTAAAAGGTCTGATTTAAGGATCCAGTTACATATTAAAAGAAAATTAAGATTTATGACATTCAATTTAAAAATATCTAAGTCATCTAAAAGGATCTACAGCTTACTATTAACAGTTTAAAATATATATTAAATTTGTTGACTGACTGAAAAGTTTGAGTACACATTAAACATTTAATAAGTAACTGGTAAATCTGAAAATGTAAAGGAAATAAGCAACTGATATATTCATATTTCTTACCTCTATAATAGGAAGAAATATCTTGTTCTATGAGCAGCTGCCATACTTTCAGACATGTTTCTAACTTTTAGATAATTAACAAATCCTCTGAAGAAAAGAAGCAGGCCTGAGAAAGTTGAAATAATACAGATATATTATGTTCTTACATAGAAAGGAGTCACGATAAACTTAAAATAGACAATTATACTCATTATCCTTTTGGCTCTAAGGACTTTAATCTGCAGGACTCCATATACTCCATAATAATATTACTCTGTAATAATAGCTCCATCATTAGGAAATTTAACAAAATTTTACTGCCACCCCCATTCTTTCAATGTGTTAAGCTTAAATGTATCAAAATTAATGCAAAGCAAATTCAACTATGAAAATTCAGAATTATGTAAAAGTTTATTTCTTTAAATAGTGAACTTACTCATAAATTTTAACTGATTCTCATAGAAAGTTCCATTTTATAGCAAGTTTTTCAATTAATATAACTGAGCAAACTAAGACATATTTAGTTACATAAAGTATAATATATACATATAGTTTTTAATAAACAATAAGCCTATCTAGCAATATCAAGTGCCTGTCATCTCTAAAATCAGTATTTGATGATATACACATTATGTACATATTTTTAATTGTGAGTTTTTATTTTCAAGTAATAATAAAAACTGTGATAAATCTTAAGAAAAGTCAGGAAAAAAGATCTGGGAGGCAGTAACTCCAGTGATTTTTGATTTGGGATACATCTTAAATCTATCTCAGGTTTTCCCTTTGTAAAATAATATTTTGGCCGGCGCTGCGGCTCACTAGGCTAATCCTCCGCCTAGCGGCACCGGCACACCGGGTTCTAGTCCCGGTCGGGGCGCTGGATTCTGTCCCGGTTGCCCCTCTTCCAGGCCAGCTCTCTGCTGTGGCCCGGGAGTGCAGTGGAGGATGGCCCAGGTGCTTGGGCCCTGCACCCGCATGGAAGACCAGGAAAAGCACCTGGCTCCTGGCTCCTGCCATCGGATCAGCGCGGTGCGCCGGCCGCAGCGCGCTGGCTGCTGCGGCCATTGGAGGGTGAACCAACGGCAAAGGAAGACCTTTCTCTCTGTCTCTCTCTCTCACTGTCCACTCTGCCTGTCAAAAAAAAAAAATATTTTAAAGTAATAACTATTTATATCACATATATCTTTAATAATTAAAAAAGCAATACCTGTGAGAAGCTTCAAAGCTTCAGATAAGTAATATTAGAGAAGTATAGAAACATTACCATTATTATGATAAGCCTTTGAAATATTTAAGAATATAATTCTTAGGGAAACATTTATTAACTCCAGTAAATTCATATTTAGGAAATGGTACGGGAAAAGTACAAAACCGAATACAGCAGATATGTATATATGCAATTTCATTCACCAGGAAGAAAAAAGGTCTGTGAATTTAAAATAAAAAATCCCAAACTAAATTTGTAATTTTTTTTTTTTTTTTTTTTTTTGTTACAGGCAGAGTGGACAGTGAGAGAGACAGAGAAAGGTCTTCCTTTGCCGTTGGTTCACCCTCCAATGGCCGCCGCGGCTGGCGCGCTGCGGCCGGCGCACCGCGCTGATCCGATGGCAGGAGCCAGGAGCCAGGTGCTTTTCCTGGTCTCCCATGGGGTGCAGGGCCCAAGCACCTGGGCCATCCTCCACTGCGCACCTGGGCCATCCTCCACTGCACTCCCGGGCCACAGCAGAGAGCTGGCCTGGAAGAGGGGCAACCGGGACAGAATCCGGCGCCCCGACCGGGACTAGAACCCGGTGTGCCGGCGCCGCTAGGCGGAGGATTAGCCTAGTGAGCCGCGGCGCCGGCCTAAATTTGTAATTTTAAAACAGTAATCAAAGCATATAAGAAAGCATATTTGTAATAAATTGGAGAAGACAGACAGATGAGCTATACAAATAATGACTTATACAAGGGGTATAAATTTCAGCTAAATTCAATTCCATATGCTTCCCATATCCAACTCCCTCCATTTGTGATTTCCTCTCTTTGAATTCCACCCTTATGCCCCTTGCAGATGCTGCTCAAAGATAATGGTATTGTTATCCAAATGTGAAAGTATTTTTGAAAAATGCAAACCAAAATTATTTGTGAGATCCCCTCTTTTGTCTATGAAGCTGCTGTTTCTAAGACACATTTTGTTCTGCTCAGGCATTTTCTAAAATAAACCAATTTATATCTGAAAACCAGTCACTGAGTTATTGTTTCAGCATTTTACAATGTGCAATATTCTTTTGCATATGTGTGAGAACAACATTTTTATCAGTGATTAAATTTTCACATTCTCATACAATGATAGATATCACTCTGAGAGAGAACAGGACTTCTGCAGTCTACTCTGCCCCACAATTACCTTCCTAAAATTCTTCTAACTTGTTAATAATAAATTCAAGCAAATACACTCCTTTAACGTGCTGTCTTAACAGACTTTGTAAGTTCTGCACTTTTAGGTAAGAAACTCAGTCAATAACACAAAATTCAGGTAAAACTGGCCTAACCTTATTTAAATCTGATTCCCCAACAAAGTCTCACTAGAGTAACTTCACTAACTAGAAAAAGACTGCTGTGAGCTAACCAACCACCAAAAATTTGCTTCCAAAAAGACCCTAAAGATCCAACAGCATGACTAAATAAAAATTCAAGGGGAAGACTGCCACCTACTGAAATGCTATTATTTTCTAGTTACAATTATTTTCTAACAAAAATGTGATCATTTAAATCTAGGTAGAAACATAACATATTCTTTGTGTCAGTAAATATATTTGAAATGTGGATTAAAGTGATAAAAGTCATTTTAAAGTGAACTTAATTATCAACCTTCTAAAGTGCAAAACACAAGGGAACAGAAACTAAAAATCAATAAAATTCATCAGTATTAGTAAAAAGACATACTTTGTAAGAATACAACTCAATAGAAATATGGTACTCAAAATGTATGAAACTTTTCCTTATGCCTGAATGATTAATAATTAAAGCAGGGCCCATTTCAAAAGTACAATGTTTCCATGATCTAAAAATAAGAGAATAAATGGAATATCCAAATTGTTCTATTCTCAAATTTTCTGAAATAATTGAAATAAATTTTGCATGTATATTTTCCAAGATAACTGTTGAAGGCAATTTTTTTCTTAATTATGTTGGAATTTTCAAAATTCAATTAACCACTGAATGTTTAAATAGATAATTTCTGGATTTTCAATGTAAAAAATCTGAAGTGATAAACAGAATTATTTGAAAAGCTGAAATAAGTGTTTGAATGAGAGAATTTTACAATGGAAAAATTATTTCCACATAAGTTACAACATAATTTATTTACATCCCACAATTCTACGAAATATCAAAGTTAAACTAAATGCATATTAGTTAAACTAAAATGCAGTAAAAAAATATGAACTTACCAAGTACAAGGAATATCCACCAAAGCCAATATTGTCCATTGAAATATCCAGTAAAATAATCAGAAAACTATGGAGTGAACATAAATATATTAACTTTAGACATCTAAATTTGAAATTCATAGGTTACCCCCAATTTCAGAATGACTTATCTCAAATACATTATAAACCTTGAAAACAGCACAAAAGAAGAAATAAAACAAAACATACTTAAAAGACATACAGTAATGAGATACATACAAGGGAAATCTTCAGAAAGCTCATGGAAAATGCATATATGGAAAAACTATGCATGGATTTAAAAAAAAAATCTGTGCCAAAATAAACATCTTTCAATGCTATTTTCCATGAACTTTTTGAAGTACCCTCGAATATAATTCGAGAAAATATCCCTTATGAATAATTAGCAAACATGTAAAATAGTTGAGACACAAAAAAAATCATTTTCAAACTGCAAGAAAGAAAATACTGTATATCTGAATCAGTTTTTACTAAGGAGTTCAAATGTCAGTCCTTTTTTCATAATCTCTCAAAGCCACAACTACTATTCCAAACACACTACAGCAACCTGCTGCTTCAGATATTAACACCAAAAGACACATTAGTTTAATCTTATCAGATAGGGATGTTCTGCTGACCTCTAGAAAGAAGAGCTTTTGACCTTCCGTACACCCCCTACTGTTAATCACTTCGAAAAACACTAGGCATATAAAGACCCCCAACTAATCGATCTTTTTATTTTTCAAACTAAATGCTCTAGCATTCAGTTCCCAACAGTGAGCAGAGAACAGCTAAATGAACCTTGAAGAGGCATTTCAACAGTTCTTACTAGTGGCCATGATAGACAGTTTCATATTCTTTGTGATGTGGGAACATGAACAGGGAGACGGAAGGCAGGGTTTGATAACACCAGACACAGGTATGTTTTCTTGATTACATCAGACTTCAATGATTTACAAAGGTTTTTTAAAAATCAATCAGATTTCTTCAGTTACTTATTTTTTCCCTATTACTCTTTTGTTCCTAAACAACGCCCCCAAATAATTATTTTTAAAAGCATTTAATATAACCTACTCTAAAACTACTTAAAATCATCTTTTGTTTTACCTACTCTGTCTTTAATGGTCCCCAAACTAATCTAACAAAAACTGATCTTATTAAGCACAGATTTGCCCTCGAATCTGAAAGTATTTAAAAGTGCAATTTGACTTTCAACTCTGACTTTAAAATAAACAATCTTTTAAAAAACAGCTTAAAAATCCTACAGTTTTGTTAATATAAAAATGCTTCAAAACAGTAAATAATATTATCATTTAGGAATTATTATCAAGTACAGATAACTAAATATGTTTTTAAGAATTTTTCTCAGGAAGTTTTTTTTCCCCCAGAAACTTTTTATTTAAGGAATACAAACTTCATGCATTTCATTTGGGATCATAGTGATTCTTCCCATCATACCTGCCCTACTACCTATATTCTCACCCTTCTTTCTCCTCCCTCTCCTATTCCCATTCTTATTTTTAATAAGATCTATTTTCAATTAACTTTATACACATGATTGACTGAACTAAGAGTTCAACTAACAGTATTAAAAAAAAAAAAAGAGCTGTTCAAAGTCATTGCATTTCAAAGTGTCGATTTCAGGGAAATGTTTTCTATTAATAAACCAGAATTTAAATCCTCAGCTTAACAGCTATGACATTTCAAAGATTTAAAATTTTGAAGTACTATTAGAGGTAAATCTCATATTCCTATACCTTTAAAATATGTTCAATGTAGGGAAAACCTGAAAATTGGGAAACTATTGCTTATAAAATAGGAAAGTACTTGGCTAGTTTTTAATCAAGTGATTAATAACTATAAACAAAATCAAGAACAGAGATATCCTTCTCCAAAAACATTAAGCTCTTTATCATTTAGTCCCAAATGAAGGATATATGATGTACCTTTAAGTCAAAGAAAGAACCACTATGTAAAAAGGATAAAGAAATAAGCTTCTGGATTCACTACTGAATGATCAAAAATGTTTTCAAATACTAAAATCATAGGGCTAAGTTGTTTTCTTTATTAATCAGTAAATTTGTCATGTTGATTGGTCAATCACAGGCTACAGAAATCAAATTTTGGAAAATAAGTTACTCAACATTAACACCTAGTTTTATTTTTATTAATACAACAGTGGTGTTCTACAGTTTACTGCTATCTTCTTTCAAACAGAATATCAGTTTTTCATAAAACACATACGCATTTTTAACAAACAATAAAAACACCAAAAGCTTTAGATAGAAGTAATATCAGAATCCTGCGCTGAAGATATTTATACAAGATATGAGGTTCATAGCAGCTCAGGGGGAAAAAAAAGGAAGGCAGCAGCATGATTTATAAATTACTTACTGTCTAATGAAAGGAATCCCAGGCTTTTAGGAGAAAACCTTTCAGCACTAACCTCTAAGAGAAATTTATTGCTTGGTACATTATAATAAAAGTCAAAGTACAGTGTAACAGAGGCAGTACAGAGTGAGCACAGGCATTGAATTGAGACTCACTTGGCTCACTTGGTTAATCCTCTACCTGTGGCGCCAGCATTCCATATGGGTGCCAAGTTCTAGTCCCAGTTGCTCCTCTTCCAGTCCAGCTCTCAGCTGTGGCCCAGGAGGGCAGTGGAGTATGGCCCAAGTACTTGGGTCCCTGCACCCACATGGGAGACTAGGAGGAAGCAACTGGCTCCTTATTCGGATCAGCGCAACGCTGGCCATAGCGGCCATTTGGGGAGTGAACCAACAGAAGGAGGCCCTTTCTCTCTGTCTCTCTCTCTTCACTGTCTATAACTCTACCTGTCAAATTAAAAAAAAAAAAGCCTAAGGCAAATCCTAATCTACATATAAACCATGGGACCTTGGCCAAATTATTAGATTCTTTATATTCTTAGCTTTATTATCAATAAAAATGGCTGGATTATCTCTAGCATCAGAGACATAGACAGGGTTAAACAATTTGGTGTTTGTAACAAGTTATGTCTAGAACACAGGAAATAATAAGTGAATGGCAGCCACTGTTATCTCATACAAAAGGTTTTTAATTTCTTCTTTATTCTCAAGACACACTAAACCTAATAATATCAACCTCAACTCAACAAAGTTATTTCAAGTGGATACCAAACAGTTCTGGTGATCAAACTTGACCCTAGTTTGTACACCCTTCAAAACTGTAAGGAAGTCAAGTCATAATTTAAATTTCTCAGGCCGGCGCCGCGGCTCACTAGGCTAATCCTCCGCCTAGCGGCGCCGGCACACCGGGTTCTAGTCCCGGTTGGGGCGCCGGATTCTGTCCCCGTTGCCCCTCTTCCAGGCCAGCCCTCTGCTGTGGCCAGGGAGTGCAGTGGAGGATGGCCCAAGTGCTTGGGCCCTGCACCCCATGGGAGACCAGGAAAAGCACCTGGCTCCTGGCTCCTGCCATCGGATCAGCGCGGTGCGCCGGCCGCGGCAGCCATTGGAGGGTGAACCAACGGCAAAGGAAGACCTTTCTCTCTGTCTCTCTCACTGTCCACTCTCCTGTCAAAAAAAAAAAAAAAAAAAAAGAAAGAAAGAAAAAAAAATTCTCATCTTATCTCATTAACCAGCGCTAATTAGAAGATAATCTTATCAGTTTCTCAACCTGGTGTTCTACTGAGAAAATTAGGTTCTAATATTTTAAAGGAGTAAGTTATATTTAATGCATTAACCCCTTTCTACCTATCTAGAACAATACTAGCAATTTACCAAACTTCAGGAAAATTAAGAAAATCTTCAGGGCTAATGTTATGGTGTAGCAAGTAAAGCCGCCACCTGCAACATGGGCATCCCATATGAGTGCCAGTTTATGTCCCAGCTGCTCCACTTCCAATCCAGATCTCTAACAATAGCCTGGGAAACCAGAGGAACATAGTCTAAGTGCTTGGGCCCCTGTACCATATGGAATATCTGGATGAAGCTCCTGGCTCCTGGTCCCCACCTGGACCAGCCCTGGCCATTGTGGCCATTAGGGGTGGGGTGTGGGAGGAACCAGCAGATGGAGAATATTTCTCTCTCAAATAAATAAATACATTTTCAAAAACAAATAGATAAAAATAGTCCTAAAATCATTGTAAGTGTTCTGTGATTTAGATGAGAAATCTTATTTGAATAATAGTAATTAATTCTATTAGTATCATAAGCAAGATTGAGTAGATGCATCTAATACATACTCTTTTGAGGTTTCTCCAGTAATAACTTCAGCAAGGGCAAGGATTGTGACTTTATCTCTGTATGTTCTGTAACACCTAACAATACATGCTGTGGTAAACACACAAGACATCTTTAAAAAAAAAAAAACAAACCAAGAAACTGCCAGAAGACATGAATCAGATTTTTTTTTTTTTTTTTTTGACAGGCAGAGTGGACAGTGAGAGAGAGAGACAGAGAGAGAAAGGTCTTCCTTTGCCGTTGGTTCACCCTCCAATGGCCGCCGCTGCAGCCGGCGCACCGCGCTGATCCTGGCAGGAGCCAGGAGCCAGGTGCTTTTCCTGGTCTCCCATGGGGTGCAGGGCCCAAGCACCTGGGCCATCCTCCACTGCACTCCCTGGCCATAGCAGAGAGCTGGCCTGGAAGAGGGGCAACCGGGACAGAATCCGGCGCCCCAACCGGGACTAGAACCCGGTGTGCCGGCGCCGCAAGGTGGAGGATTAGCCTATTGAGCCACGGCGCCGGCTAGATTTTAATCCTTTTAAAAGAAACTGGTCTTGAGGCCAGCGCTGTGGCATAGTGGGTGAAGCTGCCACCTGCAGTGTTAGCATCCCATATGGGTGCTGGTTCAAGTCCCATCTGTTCCACTTCTGATCCAGCTCTCTGCTGGGGCCTAGGAAAGTGTGGGAGATGGCCCAAGTCCTTGGGACCCTGCACCTGCATGGGAGACCTGGAGGAGGTTCCAGACTTTGGCTTTGGATCAGCCCAGCTCCAGCTGTTGTGGCCATTTGAAAGTTTACCACTCTCTCTACCTCTGCCTCTGCCTCTCTGTAACTTTGCCTTTTAAATAAAATAAGTAAATCTTAAAAAAAAAAAAAAACACTTGTTCACAAGTATCAACCAAGAATCAACTGACTAATCCAGAACCTATAATCTGGTCTGAAATAAAACAGGATCCAGGAAGATTACTGAAACCCTGGGAAGCTATAAAGTGAATGTTAAAATAATGAAGATATGCATAAGTATTAATATTTTTGTAATGGACTTTTTAATCAATTTACTAATATAGGTGCATTACCAAAATGTCTGAAGCATTTAAGAGAAGCTGACATATTAGACCTGTGATTCTAATGATTTCGGAATTGGTGCTCATTAAATTAGAAATCAATGTTTAAAGAAATATTTCTATAACTTATGTATTTTACTCAATAAATATATAATAGCATTTAAAATGTGTGAGCAACTTTTCAGAAGCCTTGAATTAATTAATTAAAAGTATACATTTATGAACCCACACAGGGGATTTCGTATCATTTCATTTTAGAGATAATTAGAGATACAGGCTATCAAGACACTTACCCTGACAATAAGGATCCATTTGATCAATGAAAGGCCAAATCCACAGATAGCACCATACCTCCCAGCTATGGTATTAGTGATACAGAAGGATAAACAAAATCCAAGCCAGTTGAAAATAAATGCCACTAAAAGCAACAGAAACAATTATTTTTAAAGACTATAATTTAGAAACAAATTAACATGGACATGGACACAGTATTAAAAAAACAGTTAAGCATGATTTCTTGTCAGTTTAGTCAACAGGAATCAACCCCTTAAGGCTTATACAGTGGCTTTAACTGCATTTTTAAAACATTTTAAAAACAAGTAACAGGGCCGGCGCCGTGGCTCACTAGGCTAATCCTCCGCCCTGTGGCGCCGGCACGCCGGGTTCTAGTCCCGGTTGGGGCGCGGGATTCTGTCTCGGTTGCCCCTCTTCCAGGCCAGCTCTCTGCTGTGGCCAGGGAGTGCAGTGGAGGATGGCCCAAAATGCTTGGGCCCTGCACCCGCATGGAAGACCAGGAGAAGCACCTGGCTCCTGGCTTCGGATCAGTGTGATGCACCAGCCACAACGCGCCAGCCACAGGGTGAACCAACAGCAAAAGGAAGACCTTTCTCTCTGTCTCTCTCTCTCTAACTGTCCACTCTGCCTGTCAAAGATAAAAAAAAAAAAAAAAGTAACAAAGTAGTTCCTATGTAAATCCAACAAGAAGTACAGAGTAAGATGTTAACCAACAAAACTGGCTTTTAAAGGTAAAACAGAATAATAAAATATAATACTTCACAGGTATTTTACAGGCTTCTTAAGGTATAGTTATAATTCCTAGATGTTCCTCTTCTGATTCACTTAAAGTATCTAATTTCATCCAGACTATATAAAAACATAGTTTACGGAACAAGTTATCAAAGTCTTATTTTTCAAAATGTGTGATGTTCAGATAACTCCTTTAAGAACCATAACTTTGGGGCCAGCACTGTGGTGTAGCCGGTGAGACTACCACCTGCGATGCTGGCATCTCATATGGGTGCTGGTTCAAGTCCTGGCTGCTCCACTTCCAATCCGGCTCCTTGCTAATGTGCATGGGAAGGCAGCGATGGATGGTCCAAGTGCTTGGGCCCCTGCACCCACGTGATAGACCCAGAGGAAGCTCCTGGCTCCTGACTTCAGTAAGGTCCTGCCCTGACTGTTGCAGCCATTTGGGGAGTGAATCAGTGGATGGAAGATCTCTCTATCTCTCTGTCTCTCCCCTGCTCTCTACAACTCTGCCTTTCAAATAAATTTTTTTAAAAAAAGTAACTTTTTCTCTCTTGTGTATAATTAAGTGCTCAAAATAATTTACTAAAAAAATTTTCCACATCATAATCATAGGGAAACACAATTTAAAATCACAACGAGATACCATTACACAATTATGCAAATGTTTAAAAATAACAGAAACTGTCAATACAGACTGCTGGTATGACACAGAGCAAGAGGAATTCTCTCAATTCCTGCTAGTGGGCATGCAAAATGGTTACAGCCACGTTAGAAGACATCTTGACAATTTCTTACAAATCACAATTCATGCTTCAAAACACTCTTATAATTCATCTTAAGGTTATACATTAATTTCTTTTTAATTATGTTTCCCTGAAGTTTAAAATGAGAATAATGCAAGTGCTTACTAATTTTTACAAGAGCTTGCTCAGGGGAATATCTACACATTATACAAATGGTTAAACTCCTATTTCAAAAAAAAATTTTAGATAGAGTCTATTAAATCTTAAAGTACTGGAGTTCAAGGTCATTTTCATAGACTATCAATTGTCCAGTGAACCAAAATTTAATTTATAGTGAATAACTAAAAAATTAATAGATTATATTTCACTCTCTTAAAAAACTTCTTAAGAATAAGATAAAAGATATTCAGGTTAGCCATATAGGAGACATTCTGCAGTAATACTTTAGAAAAGTATGAAAAACAAAAATACTATCAGGGGATACATACAATTCTACATTTTCTAAACAAGAATATACAGTTATTTTTAAAATATTTTTCTTCAAAATTATCTTACTTGATTTAAGTGTAAAGTGTTTTAGAGTTATCTGAGGTAAAAATGAAATAGGATACTGAAAAAAATGAAAAGCTTAAACCAATACAATCTTTAATCAGAATATTCTTATTGGCATTCACTTTATTTTTATTTGTACAAATTATATACCTGAACTAAGTTACAAATCACATTCCAGAAGTCATTTTCTAGCCCTCCCCCTCTTTTTCATTAATAGTAACTACTAGATAAATTTAAAAAGCCTGGGAAAATGGGCGGGAGGGAGGGGAAGCCCCACTTTGTTTCTAAATCTGTATATATGAAATATATAAAACCTGTATAACTTAAATAAAACTTAAAAATTAAGTAAAACAAACATAGTTTTTTTTTACATAATATACCTCTTGTAATCATCTAAAAGACAGGTACTATATGTATCTATTACCATAAATATTAATTTTTACCCTGATGAAAGAAAACAAGGATATATTGTATATGAAATTTAAAACCTGGAGAAATGAGGTACAGAAAGTAAGTAAATAATGAATATTGCATATAAGATTTTGAAATAACAAAAATATTTGGAAAGTAAATTTATGGTATGATTAATAAAAATTACTAAAGAGAAAATCCAAAACCAAAAACAAAAACAAAGAACCATGGGAAAATGGAGTTGCAATTTTAAGGATACCCACTAGATGGTAGTAATTGCAAATAAATCTAGGATTATCGAAGCAAATAAGCTCTAGGCTTACAGTCATATCAGGAAATAAAGGAGAAAATATAACTTTACAATAATACTGCTGAACATTTACAGAATAGGAAACATAAAAATATGAGATATAGAAACAATGCAGTATAAATTCATTAAAATAAATAATAATTTTGAAATATTTTTTAAATTTATCTTTAAGGAATACAAATTTAATAAGTACAACTTTAGGAATATAGTCATTCTTCCCACCACACCTGCCCTCCCACCCACATTCCCACCCTTCCTCCTCATCCTCCCTCTCCCATTCCCAGTCCCATTCTCCATTAAGATTCATTTTCAATTAACTTTGTACACAGAAGACCAACTCTGTACTAAGTAAAGAATTCAACAATTTGCATGCACAGGCACATACACACACAGAGGGACACACACACACAAAAATTGTTTCAGTACTAGTTTTTTTAATTTTTTTTTTTTTTTTATTTTTTGACAGGCAGAGTGGACAGTGAGAGAGAGAAACAGAGAGAAAGGTCTTCCTTTGCCGTTGGTTCACCCTCCAATGGCCACCGCGGCCGGCACGCTGCGGCCGGCGCACCGCGCTGATCCGATGGCAGGAGCCAGGAGCCAGGTGCTTTTCCTGGTCTCCCATGGGGTGCAGGGCCCAAGCACCTGGGCCATCCTCCACTGCACTCCCTGGCCACAGCAGAGGGCTGGCCTGGAAGAGGGGCAACCGGGACAGAATCCGGCGCCCCGACCGGGACTAGAACCCGGTGTGCTGGCGCCGCTAGGCGGAGGATTAGCCTAGTGAGCCACGGCGCCGGCCCTCAGTACTAGTTTTACAGTTAACTCTCATAATACAATTCACTGAGGACACAGGTCCTGCATGGGAAGTAAGTGCACAGTGATTCCTGTCATTAATTTAACAATTAACACTCTTATGTATGATGTCAGTGATCACCCGAGGCTCTTGACATGAGCTGCCTAGGCTATGGAAGCCTTTTGAAAAAGTCTATGAACTCTGTCATTATTTGGACAAGACCATAAGCATAGTGGAAGTTCTTTCCTCCCTTTAGAGAAGAATACAGCCTTCTCTGATGGCCACTTCTTTCCACTGGGGTCTCACTCACAGAGATCCTTCATATAGAACAGTTTTTGTCACAGTGTCTTGGCTTTCCATGCCTGAAATGCTCTCACGGGCTTTTCAGCCAGACTAGGAAGCCTTAAAGGGCTGATTCTGAGTCAAAGTGTTACTTAAAACAATTGTCATTCTATGAGTCTGCTGTGTGGACTGCTTCCCATGTTGGAACATTCTCTCCTTTTTAATTCTATCTATTATTATTACTAGGCACTTGGTCCTATTTATATGACCACTTTCACACTTAATCCTATCTATATGTTCACTTTAACACTAAATATGATCACTTTACCAAATAAGATGGCATTTCTACCATCAAGCTTAATGGGACTTGGAGTCCCATGACAAGTTTTTAACTGTACCCTTAGAAGTAAGTCCATAGGAATGTATGCAGAACTATACATATTTACAATTATAAACTTCTTTCTCCCTCTCTTATTCCCGCTCTTATTTTTTACTTAGATCTATTTTCAATTGACTTTATACTACTATGATTAACACTATGTTAAGTAAAGAGTTCAACAAATAGTATGAAGAGAAAAATAAAACAAAAACAAAAACAAAAACAAAACTGTTCTTCAACAGTCAAGACAGGGGCAGTTCAAGTTATCCCTTCTTGAAGGGTCAATTTCACTTCTACAGATTTCATTTTAGGTGCTTTATTAGTTCTCACAGATCAGGGAGAACACATGGTATTTGTCCCTTTGGGACTGGCTTATTTCACTAAGTATGATGTTTTCCAGATTGATCCATTTTGTTACAAATGACCAGCTTTTTTTTTTAACTTGCACTCCATAGAATACATATCCCATTTCTTATCCCATTTCTTTATCCCATATCACAATTTCCATATCCCAATTTCTTTATCCAGTCTTCAGTTGATGGGTATTTAGGTTGATTCCATGTCATAGCTATTGTGAATTAAGCTGCAATAAACGTGGAGGTGCAGATAACTCTTTTGCTTACTGATTTCATTTCCCTTGGGTAAATTCCCTGGAGTGGGATGGCTGGCTCAAACGGTAGGTCTATATTCAGATATTTGAGGTATCTCCATACTGTCTTTCATAGTGATTTTACCATTTTACATTCCCACCAACAGTGGATTAGGGTAACTTTTTCCCCACATCCTTGACAGCATTTGTTGTTTGTTGTTTCTGTATGAAAGCCATTCTAACTAGGGTGAGGTGAAACCTCACTGTGGTTTTGATTTGCATTTCCCTGATGGCTAGTGATCCTGAGCATTTTTTCATGTGTCTGCTGGCCAT